AGGCATTACAGACAGTGACTATTAAAAACCACCAAGACATCAAGGAAGCCAACCACATTTCCCAGTTCCTGCCTTATCCAGAAAATGTGACCCTAGGTTACACTCTGAGTTCACAAAGTAGAAGAATAATGTCACTGCCCCCTGGGCAGATCAAAAGCCCTGGAAATAGCAGCCACTTTGACCCTCACTCAGCCCAAGTACCCCTCTTCCAGGAAGCCTTCCCTGCTCCAACTCCTCTTCTGGATGGCAAAGCATCCCCTCCTCAGTGCTTGCCTCACTGCAGCACTTGCCACGGCAACTACTACACCGCGAGCATCATGTAGGCAGGGGCCATGTCCTCGTGACCTCTGCTCTCAGGGACAGGTTCTGGTAGAGTGTCTGGCACTCCGCCAGGGATTCCCAGCAGACTGTGCTAGCCTGATCCCTCCAGACAAGTTCCCATGATGCCTGAACACTGACAGCCCTTCAAGCAGAGCACCAAGCTACCCCCTACCCTCCATCCCCCATCCCTCAGCTCTTGGGGGTAGGGGTCTCTCAGAGAATTTCTCTGAGAATGTATACTCTGTAGCCTGGGCCTCTTAGGTTCAAATCCTGGCTCTGCCACTTTCTAGCCATGTGATCTCGGGCAAGTTATTTCAACTCTTTATGTCTCTGTTTCTTCACTGAAAAACAGAGGTAATACCTCTTAGGGTCTCGTGAGGATTAAATGAGCTGACCCACAAGGAGCATTTGGAACGGGGTCTGACCCATAACATGTGCTCAGTGAGAGCTGGAGTTATTATTTCCCAGGCCTATTACTTTACGGAACTCGCCACCCACCACCCGCAGCTTCCACTCTTGTCTACATAGTGCCACATCCCTCCCCCACCTCCAGGACCCTTTGCCCTGTTCCTCCAGCACCAATGGCAGCAGCAACATAAAAAGCCATTCACCTCTCCTCACTGATTATGATCTTCTCCCCAGCCCACCTCTACCAGCTTATAAGGCACATTCTCCAGAGAGAAGGGAGAAGAGCTGGTTCCACAGCAGGGCTATAAATGCTGAGTCATTCTGCCCCCCCTGTGCCTCTCTATCCATCACCCTTGACGTTTCAGGCTCCCCAGCTTCCCACTGCGCGGTCCCCTCTGCTCATAACTTAAGAGCAAGCCTCACCCCAGGCGCCTTACCCCAACTGCCTTACCCCAGCCCAACCCACCCCTACCCACCCCTCCAAAGGCCAGGCTCAGCCTCTACAGTTTTTACCAAAGGTTTTCCTTAACAACAAGGAGCCTCAGAACCTTCACACCATGTGCAGAAAGAAAAATAGCAGTGTCTGCTCCAAGTGTTTACTGGTGGTTGCCAGATAGGAGGGGACTTGGGGGGGCTGGGTGGAAAAGGTGAAAGGACTATTAAAAAGTACAGATTGGCAGTTATAAACTAGTTGCAGGGATGTGAAGTGCAGGAAAGGGAATACAGTCAGTAATATTCTGACTATGTATGGTGCCAGGTTGCATGGCGCCAGGTGGGTGCAGGATTTATCGGGGGGATCGCTCTGCGAGTAACACAGATGTCTAACACTATGTTGTACCTAAAATTAATGTAATATTGTATGTCAACTGCAACTGAAAAATAAATACACTTTTAAAAAAGGAATGCGTACTCTTTGTGTGGCATACATACTAGATCTCCTTTAACTCTTCCTAGAGCTGAGAAAGTGAGGCATGAAGTCACAGAGTAAGGTGGGAGGCGGGGTTCTAAGCGGGGATGTGCAACCTCAGAGCCTATACTCTACGCCACAAAGCTTTGTCGCAATGGGCACAGAGTGGCCGGTTTGCCTCTGGGGGTGGATTTCAATCAATGGAACTGGAACTTTTGTATCCCACCGATAATTCCTCAAAGACTCACGGTGCCACCATAATGAAAATGGAAGGGTCACAGTTTACGAAGAGGGAGTTTATTTACATTTATAGGCATTGTTGCCGAATTTATCAGTACAACCTGTATTAAAGATAAGAGTGATGGCGCATTCTCAGGGGCCACCTATTGTTCTGACACATCGGGGGCACTTACTGGGAGGCTGGAAGCAGAGAGGGTCAGAGAAGCGCTGAGAAAGCAGACACAAACCGGCATCCTAACCTCACCAACCTGTGGCAGCCAGGGCAGCAGCAGACAGACAAGTCCTGGCCACTGAGGAATGTGAATCGTGAGTCACTGCCATGGGACCCTGACACCCCGCTCAGACAACTTCCACAAAGCAGGGATCGCTGGATCACAGCATCTCCATGGCCCTTTATGGCTCTTCCTTCCCATAAGTGTTAAGAGCCAACAAAAGAGAGGCATCACTTCCTCCAGGCCACCCGAATAGTCAGAGGTGATCTTTATCTGACTCCCAGCTTCCTGCCTCCACGGCTCCAGAATACTCCTACCTGTGTTGCTTACTGCTACGGTGGGAATAATCCATCAGAAAGAGTAAATATAGGAAGCTCTGAAGAAAGAAAAAACGTGAGTGCTCCTATACACCAAACACAGTGCTTGCTATTTAAACAAGGAAAATCCCCATGAGCTCCCTCGGTCTGGAGGCCCTGGAGCCTAAGAAGGGCTTCTCATTACCAAGGCAAAGAAGTTGCAGATGGCAGACTCTACCAAAGGCTCTTCCAGATCCCCAGCAAGGGTAAATGTCACAAACACCTGAGCGGCAGCCAGGGCACAGTGAGCTTTGGCTGAGAAACAGAAGGCAGGCCAGGCCTCCTCGGATGTACTGGGGATGGTGACAGCCATCTTCTCTGGCCTTTTAAAGTCCAGAGGGATTGAAGGAACCTACAATACATAGACCTTGGTCTGGGACAGCTCTACCCCAAGACCTCAAGAGGAGGTGCGTCTTTTGCATTTAAGCTTTCCACCGAAGTGCCTTCTCCCTTCTTCCCCAAGAATGAACTGGAGCTCTTCAAGCACCTGGATCCTATACTCAGCTGAAACACCTGACCTTATCCCGTATTTACCTCTAATTCAATAGCCATGTGGCCCCAGCCCAGTGCTGGGCCTGAGCCTTCCCACCACAAAGATAGCAGAACAGCCCCTGGAGAAGTGTTCCCCATCTGTCCCATCCTCTGGCTAACTGCAGGAGTGGGGAATCTAGCCCCGCTAGAGGTCTCTATGACCGCATAGGTCTCTATGGCCACAAGCCCAAAGTGGCATCAGAAGGTCATGAGAAAAGATTTCCTGAGAGGTCTAGTCCTCACACTCTGGGGTTACTCACTGACCAGCCACAAAGGAGGGGACTGTTCTGAATGGCTTAGGCTGGACCACAGACTCTAAGTCAGGGGTCTTTCTAGGGTCCCAGTTCCAAAGAGTACAGTAACCCTCTGATATTGCATACAGAACGTGTCCCTGCATTGTGTGCATGTTTGGGGAGTGGGGAGGAGTTAGAGTTGTCATCTGATTCTCAAAAGGGTGCATGATCCCAACCCCTTGACCCCAAGTTCCCCCCAATTCACCTTATGATCTCTAGGACCTCCCTAGCTCTCCAAGGTCTCTCTCCTATTCAAGGATGCAGGGGGGCCTGAGGCACCACTACCGTTACCTTGCCCCCTGCTCCTTCCAGCAGCAGAAAGTGGACAGGGGCTTTCAAACCCAACCCTCCCCCACACAGCCTCCAGCTTCCGGGTGACCTGAACCAGGTTTCTCTCTCCATTCCAGAGAAGCCACCCTCCATTCAAACTGAGGTCTCAACAGCATCCACCGCCCCCAGCAGATAGGGCAGGATTTCACACTCAATCCCACAGGGGCCAAATCTCCGGGTGAGATGACTTCCTCCAGGAGAGAACTCCTGGCGTCTCTGACCTCCTTCCACCACACCGAGCTATAGCTGACTCCGCCCAGGCTGTAAAGATGAGCATGCTTGCCATAGAAGAGTGATGAAAGGCCAGAAAATCTTCCTGAGTCCTTTCTCTTGGGCTAGGTGGTTCAGAGTGCGGCAGGATAACCAACAGGAAGGCTTGTTCCCCATGTCCCATTACCCGCAATCTTTGGTCATGCTCCTGCCTAAGGGTCAGGTGAGGTGTGACATGGTCTGTCTGTAGTCTGCATCACCTCTAGTACAACTTATTTCGAAACTCCTAGTCCTTCCCCTCACTCTCCACCCCGGGGGGTGGGGCGGGGGGGGAGAAGAAAGAAAGAAAAGAAGAAAAATCAGAAACCTCTCTCCCCCTAAAATAAACTCCTCTCCCGGAATTTAATTTTGGTATAAATGTCTTGGAGCTAAAACTTCTTATAAGGGGGGAAGAAATGGGCAAGCCATTCCTAGGCGTAAGGCAACAATGCAAGGAGAAAATGAGAAGGAAAGAACGAATTAACGCAAACCCCCACCCCCCAGAGCTTAGAGCCCGGGCCACAGACAGCGGGAGGGGCGGGGGAGCAGGGGCGGGGACAGCGCTTTCTGAACTTTCCCTAGCCAAGACGCCTGGAGATGCAGCTCCCAGGGGACTGGGTGGGACCAGGGCAGGTTGAGGAGACCTGTGACTTTGGTGGGGGCAGGAAGCGAACCTCCCATCCTCCTAAAAGGACCTCCGCCCAGCAAGCGCCCCCACAGCCGCTGCCAACCAGCTACAGCCCCCAGGCCGGGGCAAAGCGGGGAGGGGCGCCGACACAAAAGGGGGAGCGGCTGCTTAAGGGACTCCGGGCGGCGCCCGCTGGGGGAGGCCTTGCTACCCTGCCTGGCGCCGCCCGCCCGCGCCCACCCTTTAATCCCGCGCCCGGCTCTCAGTCCCCAGAAGCCCGCACGCCCCGCGCGCCCACGGCCAGGAATGAGGTGGGGTCTCAGGAGGGAAGCGTGCCCGGGACCCGCCGCACGCGGCTGGGCTCCCGGGAAGCCGCGGCGGCAGCACCGGGAATCAAACTCGTGCCGGCCCGGCCCTCCCGGCGGTGCCTCGGCGATCGGTACCGAGAAGGTGGGGCCGCCGGGCCGGGGCCGGGATGGCGCGCCGGGCGGCTGGCTGCGGCCGGGGACGAAAGGGAGTTCTTACCGAGCAGCCGCCACGCGCGTCCGCGCCCCGCGGGCCGGTGGGGCCGGCGGGCTGGGGGAGGGGCGGCGATCCCGCGGCGGCGGCGGCGGCGGCGGCGGCGGGCCCGGCGCAGCGGCGCGGCTGGGGCGCGGGAGGCGGAGAAAGCGAGGCGAGGCCAGCTTCCTAGCGGCGGGCGGCTAGAAATGCAGCTGTCCTCGCGCGCCTGCCGGCGCGGCCACAAGTGGGGCCGCGCGGGGAGGAGCGGGGCTGCGGGCGGGGCGGGGGCCCGGCGGCGGCGCCCCCAGACCCTCTCGGACGCGGGACCCCTTTCGGACAGGAAAGCAACGCGGTGGCGGGGGCTGGGGGTCGCCGGGTGAAGGTATGAAAATCCCTGCCGCGTCGTCCTTCCCCGGCCGGCGAGCAGGAGGGCGTGAGCGAGAAGCCTCGGTATCCCTGGCAGAGCCGGGTGCCTCGCGTCCTGCCCTACAGGCTCGCGGAGCGGCGCTGGGACGGCGCACCCCGGAGAGAGCGGGGCAGGAAGACCTGGACTCCGAGGGGAACGGAAAAGCAGGGCTGCCCCGAGAAGGTTGGCAATGTGGACCCACATATGGGGCCTGGGACAGCTGAAGAGTAGGGGAGAGGCAGCCCCCAGGGAGTTAGGACTCAGGAAAACAAACAAAATAAAATGTCAGGGCCAGAGGTAGGCAGGAGGTCAGGGCGTCAAAGATTACCCATTCCCACCATCAGCTACCACCTGCCATCTCCCTGTCGCCTCCCCAACACCCCTGGGCGCTTCAGGGACTTCTGAGACCTGAGAAGATTTTCCACAAAACTTGTTCAATAAATGGAAAATCAACTTTGACTATTCTTTTTCCATGTAGTTTGGTTTAAAATGCCACTTTGGGGGAGGGTAGGATGGGGCAGGGGGCGATCGCCAAGTACCTACCTGGAAGAGGAGCTACATAGGGGATCTGAGGAGGGTGAAGGCCAGAATGCAGTTCCAGCTCTGCCCCCAGACCCCTTGCAAAGGGGTCTCCTGGATAAGCCTGCCTCAGGGACCCACTTGCTCACCTGGGCCCAGACCTCAAGGAGGAACCCCTCTTCCCTCTGCTTCTGAGGACTAGCAGTCCCCTAGCTCTGCTGAGACAAATCAATGTGCTCAGCCACAGACACATCTGATGGTGAAAACCACAAACCAAAGCACCCAGACACCATGTGTTTCCATCACTGACATGTCAAGACTAAGTTCCTTCAGCAGACTGGGAACCTGGGATGGGGAGAAACCTCAGAACCACACTCTCCTTGGGGAGGCCCCACATTAGGTTAGCATGTTGAGTGGGTCCCAGACCCCTCGGGACATCTCCCCTCTCCCATCCCCTCTCTCCTGCTCCTTTACTTGGCACAGTTGATTGGGGAGAGCGGGGATTGAACCCCCCAGGAGGTGATCCCATCAATCCCAGAGTAAATATACTTAACCTGGAGACTGACCCATGCCGACTCCTGGCTCCCCTCCCAAAATTGTGACTGAGAGCTCGGGCTTCATTCTCCTTGCTGGTCATCTAGGTCACATTTTCACGTGTGTTACCTCACGCTTGCCCACAGGGCAGTTCAATGACCACTTTTCTGCCGATTTGCAAGACCTTCCCTGTCACCTTGGGATTTGGGGGGCCAGAAGAAAGCATCTGCGAACATGGAGCTGTCCTTGTTTGTACTCCACTCTGAGTGCTCATTAAAGCATTTAATATATTATTAATATAGTTATCAAGTGAAATTAGTCACTGTAATGGACGCTGTTCCTTGAAGAATTCCTTGCAGAGCTGTCCTTCCGGAAGCTTTCCTCAGAGCCCTTTCCTGCCTTTCCCACACCCAGGGAATTTCCCTAACACCCACCGCTGCCTCTGAGCTGAGAGTTCTCCAGGTCCCAGGCCAGACCTCCCTCCTGCACTCCAGCCCGTCATGCACAGCTGCCCACAGAGGTTCTCCACCTGCGGGCCCTTCAGACACCTCACCACACAGAGGCTAAAAGCAAACTCGAACTCAGAGTCCTTTTTTCCCCAAGCTTCCTCCTCATCCTCTGGTTTAGCAGTTGGAAATCAGTCTTCACGTGCCTTCCCCCAAATTCTGTTGGTTATCAGGTTCTATTTGTTCCTCCTTCCCTTCACTCCCTTATTCCCCCAGCTTCTGCCCTGGTTCAGCACCCCACCCCCACCCCGAAGTGTCTCTGCTCATCTCCGAGAATAAATGTCCCCTTTGCTTTCAAGCCTAACCCTCCTGACTGCTTCTGGAGACTGTCAGTTCTTCCCTCACCCTTCTCTGCTTGTAACCTACAAACACCACAGGATGCCCCCTTCTAAGAAACTCTACCCCAACTCTGCCCCACCCTCAGGCCACTGCCCTAGTTCTCTCCTGCCCATTCATCTACTTCCTCTAAGAAACCACACATACTCTCTCTGCTTCTTCAATTTCCACTTACTCCTCAATCTTCTACAATCTGGCTTTCTTCCCTATCATTCCAGTGGCACTCAGTCTTTTCAACCTGTGGGACCCCTCCCTCCTCTACTCCTCAGACCCCTTGCAGCCCTGGATGAAGGTAACACCTCCTTGAAATGACTCCCACCCCTACAGCTTGACTTCCAACCCTCCTGGTTCCCAACTCCATTGCTTCAGCTCTGCCTGCCCAAGGGGCTTCTCCAGGGTGCAATCTGCCAGGGTCCAGCCTCGGTGGGTCTCCAGGTCCCCGAAGGAGGAACAGGTCAGGCGAAACGAGAAACCGGGTGAGATGCCGGAGGACAGCCAGGCTCTCTAGACCTGACTGACTCACCGAGAAAAATCAATCTTTATTTTTATAGGGTAGGTTGTACAACATTCAATGCATAGTGTGATCATTAAAACAGAAACGGTTACCATAGAAATAACTTCGAAAAGTACAGAAGATTTTACAGATCAATCATGTTAAACAAAGAAATAACCGAAAAGTACAGGAAGTCCCACAGATCAACCATATTAAACAAAGGTTACTTTGACCAAGAGGGTCATTAATCAGATAGCCAACGAAGCTATACGAGCACAAACTTTCAAATGCTGATTATAATTAAATATCTACTAAATTTCTATACATTGGTCTAAATCAAAGGGGTACAAGGAGTGACTTAAAAATTAATTATTGTTTATAGAAATTAGATTGTCTAAATTATATAAAATGATTTTTTACCTAGATCTATTAACTACATATCTAGAGGGGGACATATTATATTTCTATGTACTAAGATTGTTATATTTAAGTTAAAACTCCTTCCTCCTCTATTTATCTGGTCCCATCAATAACTGCTTCTGCCCAGGGCATGGGAAAGGCAGTGGTTCTAATAAATCTTGAGCTTTTGAATGGTGACTCCTGAGACATTCCTAGCAACGGCCTCCTTCAGCCTTCTGGCAGTTGGTCTGCCCATAGTTTAATTTTGTCCTTAACTTCCCAGATGAGGGAAACAGGCAACATTAGAGTTGCTAGGGGTCTCTATTCTATGGTCAACAAGTCATTTTCACTCAGAATCAGAGGCATCGTGCAGAGTTTTTTGTTATAAAGCACAGGTGTCCAAAAATCCCACCACCTGATGCTAATAGGGACAAGTATACGGGACGAGATAGACAGGAGACCTGGCCACAGCCGCTTCTGCTGTGCAGATGCATCTCATCCGTCCCAACTGTGTCAAGGGTCGGTTGTTGGACGGCCTCCAACAGCAATCCTCTTACCTTTTCCACAAATCTCACAATTCTCAGGATGTTCTCACAGAGGGGAGAGAGGGGAGCAGGTACCAACCTCTGCGTGCTCCACTTGCCTGCAGCATAACTTTGGGCCGGTTACCTAACTCTTTCTGTGCCTCACTTTCCTCTCCTGTATTTGGGGCTCACAACAGTGCCCACCCAAAAAGACTGTAGTGAGAACTAAACAAACCTACACACGTAAAGTGCCCAGAACAGTGCCTGGCACATGTTCAGTAAGCGCTAGTATTGCTACTGATAACATTACCGCCTCTGCTGTCAGGTGGAGTGTTTTCAGGGCTGATTCCTGCACGTGTTCCCTTCCCCGGCTCCAGACTGGAATATGTGGCTGCCATTGGACAGGCTGTCCTACAGTCACCTCACTGTCAGCATGACAAGCCTGGAATCCATCATCTCCACATACTCCTTTGCCAGAAATCTCTGTCCAGGAGAAGTGCACCTCCCACTCACCCATGCTACCAATTTCACATGTCGCCACCCTTCTCTCCCACATTCAAACCCCTAAGTAAACTCAGGGCTTTCTACCGCCTGAATTTCTCTGGACTCCACCGCCCCATCTCCATTCATTCCTGGTTCAGGCCACCAGGCCCCTGCCTTTCAATCCATCCTCCTCAATGCCAGCAGCTTTTTCTAAAGCGTAGACTGGAGATGCATGTCACCCTCCTGTTGAAAAGATGGATGACTCTCCACTGCTTGAAGAATGAAATTTAAACAGTTTGGAGAGGCTAATCTCAGCCCGCCCTTAACCTATGACCCAGCCCTTCTCCTTTCCTGTGCTGGCCCCACCTGCCCACCCCCAGACTAGAGCAGCTAAGGCCACTTGTTGTTCCCACTCAATACATGGGAAGCCGAGGAAAGCTTCTTGCTAAGTCTCTGGGCACATTAAGCACAGATAGCTGGAAGCGCGTCTGCCATGTCTCCCCCCACCGTGAAAATGAGGCTGATAGGGAGCTGCTGGACTCAGGCTTGGAAAGAGCAGGTTCCAGCTGGATCACAGGGAAAAGAGGACATTTCTTTTCTGGGACTTCCCCAGCCCAAGACGAAAGCAGTGCACAAGAGCATGCACCAGCAGCTTAGGAACAAACCACATTGTCCCAGCCTCTGGGGGACCCTATCCCCTCCTACAATCGCAATAGGCAGCAACAAGATCCAAGGTGGAAAAGAAAGTGGTGGAAATATCCAGATATTTTGGGTAATCCTTCCTCCATCTTCACCATTTGACTAAGAAACTTAAAGGAAAGTTTGAAAGAACTGGTGCTATCCCTTGGGGGTTTTGAATGAAAACATGGGTGAAAGGTGGAGGCAGTGATGCCCCCAGAAGTGAGCAAACAACCCCCTTCCAGGAAAACAAGCAGAGGGATGCCTGTGGGACTGCCAATCTCAA